AAAAAGTGTGTATGTGTGTAGGAGATTTCGTGCTGAAAATGCCCTGTCTATTTAATGAACAAATGCTCAGTATACTTTTATGTTTAAATTATGCAGGTTTCTACTGTTTTGAAGCTTACCAGCACAAAAGCTTTCTGAGAATATGAAAGCAAATGTTTGTATGCGGTAAAATTCTGCTTTCCTAAACACCATATGAATTTTCTGGTTTTATAGTTGATTGTCTTTCTTAATAAGAGTTCAACTGTTGCATTTTTGTGATACGACTTGGCACTAAAACGGACTGTGTGCCAGGTGAAACAAGCAAATAATGCGGTTTCTTTTCTTGTGTTTCTTACATTAATAAATAGTATTCAGTGAATAGACTTTAATTTTCAGATGACAGGAATAAAGCCAAACCCAATACAACTTCCCTTCCAAGTGGAAAGTCCAAATGATGACTTACCAGTGCCATGTTTTGTGACTACTACACTTTCTCATCTCCTGGAAATAGTTCTAAGCTTTAATTCTTTATATAGAACTCATAAGATAAGAATTGCTATACTTTCTCTGTCTAGTAAAGTTACAAACTAAACTGAAGCATAATTGTCACATTGTGTAGTGAAACCTACTTAAAGTTGTCTTCGGAATGCTTGCATCTTGACATATGACTGTTGGGTTTGGGTTTGTTTTTATTTGTCTTAGCATAATATACAATTCCAACCAAAAATGGATAGTTAATGATTTAATGGAAAATATGTGAGCAGTGTAATAGTATGTACTGTTTCTGTGTCTTTCAGAAATGATTATGAGGAGTTAGCTCAACAGTGCAAAACATTTGCTAAAGATTTGCTTGCACAAGCACGGAATTCACGGGAGCTGGAAGTTATTCTGAACCACACATCTAGTGATGAACATGTAGACAAGCGAGGATTGTTGGAAGAGAGGATGAACTTAAGCCGCTTAAAACTTGCAATCAAGTATAATCAAAAAGAGGTTTGTCTTTGCAGTAATTTGATAGGCTTTTCGTATCATATTTTGCTAGTAATTCATTTAATTTGTTGTGCCTCTAGACATAGAAGTGAAAGTAAATTTGTGAGAGTTATAGAAGAGAGAGTGATACAGAGTATCTGCATGTGAAACAGGGAAATGATATTGCAAGATACTGAGTGTTTTATCAGTATTTACTGTGGAGAAGAATGTAGTATTTTCTGTATTGGAGTCTAGACTACTGCTCTTTCATGAACAGCTCTAGTAGTGGTAATTATTTGTTCAGATCCTCATTAAATCCTTGCCTAGGGAAGCATGGATCCTTAGGTGCCATACATGATTTATCTTCTCACTTGTCATTAGCTGTTCAGCTTTGGCTCAGGCCTTGTCTGTGCTATTCAGTAATTATGTTAGACTTACGCTGGTATAACTGAATAGCGCTTCTGTTACAGCATAGTAGCACCTTTTTATACCATCAGTATGGAACTTATTTCATGCAGTAGGTCATTGCTGTCTCTGTCCCTTGACAAGTTATAACTCTAGTTTTGCTGTAGTAGAAGACAAATGAGTATTGTGGGGTTCTAGTACAAGGACTAGGGACAGAGAGAAAGTTTCCTTTCCGTGTAAAATCCATTTTCAGTTCTCATTTGCAGAAGGTATTATAATTCTGTCTGTTCTACATATCCAGGCTTGAACTGTTTGTGAAACTGTTAAAATACATAGTGTTTAAAAGTTATAAGCCATAGTTATGGAATGTCCTATAACCAGCATTACACATTTCTGGTATGCATTAAACAAACATACTTAAGTATTTCAGATGTTCTTCTGGTTTTGAGCATAGCTTGTTTTTACCACAGTGGTTGGAGAATAACAACATTTTTTGTGTGGTATGAGGAAAGTATCTTTGCAGAATATGTTTTATTCCTAGTAAGTTTACTATAGAGACAGTTTTTTGTGATGCTTTCTAAAATGTGACAATAATATCAATGTTCCTTTTGTTGATTAAATGACAAACCGTCCTCAAGTGAAATACATTCTTTTGCAACTCCATGCAAATAAGCACCTGAAATTTGAAACTATGTTTGCATAATCTACATAACCTTCAGGCCAAAATGATCTTCTTTTGAGGGACTGATACAACATAGCTTACTCTGATTTAAAATTAACCCTGCAAAATAGAGCCATAACGATTTTAAGAACTGGTATGTATAAAACTGTTTGGCTGCTATAGTCTTCATCTTACAAGGTGTTGTGTTTTACAGTGTGGATGGTATTTTACAGTAACAGTATCTTATTGTTCAGATAAGGTCACTGTATTTTATAATAACAGACAATGAAGCTGTCTGAGATATGATGTTACTTATATGCTAGATTTCTAAGTAATTAGAAATCAAAACTAAATCTTAACCTGAAAACCATTAAAAGTCTAGTATATATAATTTATGTTTGGTTGCTGGCTTTAGAAGGAAATTAAGATAATGGATGTTTATAATCAGTGGGTCCGTAGCACTTTTGTTCTCTTATGAGATAATTATTTAAACTCAATATTCTTGCCTTTTCCTGTTCATTGGTAATTACACATAGTTTGAAAATAAGTTTTAATAATGTAAATTAGTAATCTGCATTAAGAAACCTGAGACTGATTTCTTGTTTGTTTCTTTTTCCCCACCCCCAGTTTGTTGCTCAGTCTAACTGCCAGCAGTTTCTAAACACTGTGTGGTTTGGACAGATGGCAGGCTATCGACGCAAGCACACGTGCAAGAAAATTTTGACTGTTTTGACGGTTGGCATTTTCTGGCCAGTTCTGTCCCTGTGTTACTTGTTAGCCCCTAAATCTCGAGTAGGTCGAATAATTCACACTCCTTTTATGAAGTTTATTATTCACGGAGCTTCGTATTTCACATTTCTGTTATTACTTAATTTGTACTCCCTTGTCTACAATGAGAATAAGAAGAATACAATGGGACCAGCCCTTGAGAGAATAGACTATCTTCTGATAATATGGCTAATTGGTAGGTATGATTTGAGTAGATTGGATGACAATTGCTGATGTTGATCAAACAATAATGATTTGTACTGCCTTCTTATGAAATCAGCATGTTACTCATTGCTTGACCAAAGTTTGCTCTTTGGAGGATAGTGTTACAGGAAGAAAAAAAACCAAACACGTTTTGAAGAAGGGTTGTGAAGTGTTAGAACAATCTGTAGTTATCACAGAAAGTGAAGTATCAGAAACAGAATGTTGTAGGATCTAACAGAGGAGGAACATGAATTTTTCTTCAGAAGGACGATTAGCATTCAGAATGACGCAAGTGAGATTCAGTTGTGCAATAACAAATTAATGTAAAAGCTGTGTGTCTTCCTAGATATTTTAAAATACTGATCTTAAAAAAAAAAAACAAAAACAAAAAAAAAAACACAAAACAACAACAACAACAACAAAAAACAACAAAAAAAAACAACAAAAAAAACCCATAGAGGCAAAGCAAGTGTGTGTTCCCCAGATTAATAGTTTTGTAACAGATAAGAGCCTGTCATCAACTAGTTTTCTGTGATGGTAAGCTGAGGAATAAAATTAATTCAGACATCACTTTAGATTGTTTGCCAATAACTCTTCATGAATAGGTAGTATTATTTAGTATGTAGGTTGTTTAATCACTGTGAGGCAAACTTGTTTTGTTTTTTCATCAGCCAACAATCCACAAAACTTTCAATTTCGTCTAGCTCTCTTTTACCAGAAATGTTTGGACAATGCTCTTAGATATATGGTTTAACTTTTAGGTTGCCCTGTGTAGAGTCAGTAGTTGGATTTGATGATCTGTGTGAGTCCCTTCCAACTCAGACTATTCCACGATTCTGTGAATTCTGTGAAAAAAGTAGTAGGGAATGAGCTAGGCTTCTTAATTACTTGTGTGTCTGTGTTTGGGATTATGCTAGAATTTGAATATTACTAGTAAAATTATTGTTTCTTTGAAAATCTAGCTAAGATCTTTATGTAATCATAAAGTAGATTAAAAGTATTTGTGCATTGTATGCAAGCTAATTACAATTTTTCTGGATTGTAAATAGGTGGAGCAAGTGTGCAGTGACACTCATAAAATCAATTGCTGCATTGTTTTCATATCTATTTTAATATGCTCTAACTAGACAGAACAGGAGAATTCTGTACAGTTTTGGACTAATGCAACTTTAAACAATTGGCAAAATTTATGTTTATTTATGCATATATATGCGTGTATACTCCATCTTAGTCTAATAAATTGAAGGTGTACATTTACCTCATCCTTGTTTTAAAACACAGAAACAAGTATTACTTTCCCATATTATAATTTTCCATTTCTCTATGTCATTGTCACCAGTTATCATAACTGTACCTTAAAGGATGCATGGTAATTCTGGTTGATGCAGTAGAGGGAGCACAGGTATAATTTTTGTTGAGTGAAACTTTTGAACTCATGAACTTTTGGTTTGGTTGAAAATTCATAAAACCTTATAACATGTTTTTAGTTGGTTGGTGTGTGTTTGTTTTTACATTCAGATTTAGTAGATAAATCCATGGAAACTTACACCTTAATGTAACATAATTAGATATGTACCATTTGGTTGACTGGACTTGTAAAAAGCAGTGATATAGTCAAAAACACCACAGTTTTTATCTAAGTAATTTTGGGTGGTTAATTTGTTATTTTAGGGTGGTGGGATTTATTTTTTTTTTTTGTAATGGTGCTTCCTTTCATTGAGCTATATTAAAACCATTGAGTAATTCACGCAGATTTTGGAAATACCCAGTACCCACAGCAGGTCTTAAAAGCAACTTGAAAACTTTAAATACAGAGTACAAATCAGTGTTACAGACCCTTCCTTTGTTTTGAGATTAAATATCTGATTTTAGAAATTATTTTGTTCCATCAAATCTAATGTCGGCAGAAAGTGTGTCATTAGGTAGTCTTGGAAATTTTAATGAAAGGCTATAGGAACATTTTATTTTCTTCATGTAGTATTTTAACATGTGGATTTCAGATAGGGTTCAAAAATGACTTGTAAATAACATAAGTCATTAAAATCAAGTTGATTTTTCACATTATTGAATCTTGAGGTTTTTTAAATAGTAATTGCATTTATACCTTAAATGTGTATTTTGTAATGACATATTGTACTGTTTCATTACAAATAATCAGTAAGTTGAAAAAGGATGTATTTAGAAAATGTGTGACAAAATCAACTGGAATAAAAAGAACCAAGTAACAAGGATTTGCCTACATTATCATCTTCTATAGTCTTTTAAAAATACTTTCTAAAAATCAATGTCAAAATGGTCACAGCAGAATTTCTGACACTTAAAGTTAGCAGCAGGTTTTGTGTTCTGCTAGATTAACTTTCAAAATCATGAATACAGTAATTCTCTTTCCTAAGTTATTGAGCCTAAATCATACAAATGTCTTCCCCAGCAAAATAAAGCAACAGAACTCAGATTATTGTGTGTAAATAACATCAATTATAGCATCTTCTACTTCTCCAGTTCTTTTTACTGATTCTGTAACAAATTCAGTGTAAAATACATGGTGATCATCTAGAGGGGCACAGAGGTTCTGATTGAGAAATATTTTCTTGATAACCAGGAATAAGAGAGATTTATATGTGTCTTTTAACAAATTGTACACAGCACACTTTTTTTTAATTATGCCTTCCAACATTGCTGTAAAGCTGACTGAACAAATAAAGTCGTGCCTAAGTATCTGATATTTTTTTTTCCATTCACTGGATCTTGCTGTTACTGGGCCAAAGTTTTAGAGAAGTTGCAAAGTCCTAAAAGCTGAACCAAGTCTAACACTTTTTAACTACCATGCTGCTTTTCTTCTTGTCCTAAATATAGTAGCATACATCTGAAGTACTCAGAAAAACATTAAATAACTGATTGATTATTCATGGAAATCAAAGGTGCCATTATATTTCATCTAACATTCCTTTCAAGTTTTATAAAAATGTCAAATCTGTAACAGACATTCAGTTAGTAAAATTCTCAGCAACTGTATTTTTCCATACAGCCAGACATGGTTAACAATGGTAAAATTCAGCTTGCTATAAAGATCCTGGATATGTGGTTGTAAGTTAGACTTCTTATTTTTGCAGTCTTAAGTCGTGGTCTCTTTTCTCTGCTAATGTTGTTTAATATCAGTTAGGGTAGGAAAAGTTTCTACTTTTCGGATCTTTTCAGTAACAGTTACTGAGCTGATTATTCTTAAAAAACACTTCATAATACTTACACACTTTCAAAAAATATTTGATATGTTATGTGGCAATGTAATGCTTCTATAGTGCTTTTGGAAAAAAGTGAATACTTTTCATTCAAAAAAAGCATTTGTATTCTAGCCCTCTACCTTGTCCTGTCCAATTTTTCGTCTATTCATTTCCTCTGATGCCCTTTTTTATTCGAGAATGTGGTTGATTACTCCACTTCTTTCTCTTTGTTAAAATATCATTTACAAAAGCCAGCCAAAATTGCTTTGGTTGTAAAAGAATATCTGTTCAGTGCAATGGCTTGACTTCCCTGGCTTTTATTTTTTTTTTTCCGTGCAGGAATGGTGTGGTCAGATGTTAAAAGACTCTGGTATGATGGTTTAGAAGACTTTTTAGAAGAATCCCGTAATCAGCTTAGTTTTGTCATGAATTCCCTGTATTTGGCAACTTTTGCCCTCAAAGTCGTTGCCCATAACAAGGTGAGCACCCGTCTTCATAGATCCAAATCTCTTCCAGGACTGACTGAGCAAATATAATTTTAGTACATTGCTGCAAAACATATGAAGATAATGTTACGTGTGGTATGTTACGATGTTGTAGTTAAGTGTAATACATTAGTAAAAGCCTACTATGTGGATACAGTTTAGGCTTCCAAGTTAAATGTTCTAGGTGGTTTATGCTGTGTAGTTGTCAAGATCTCTGGCTTGTTGCATCTTGGGCTTGAAAGAGAAGTTGATGAGGCACATGGGGGTTAGAAAACACATTAAGACATGTCCAAATACTCAGGGACTCCAAACAGAGCTACTGTCTTCCCTGTAAGAAGTGGCTGGTCTTCCAAATGGCTTGATTTTCATTTGGCATTTGAGCTCACCTGATTCCACAAATCAGTACTATGCAGGAAGCTAATAGTAATGTCTGTGTTTAGATTGCCTCATGCTTTTTTACTACAGAAAGTTTTATTTAGCTTTCGATTACATATGCTCAAATGTCACAAGTGGTTATGAGGTGCTTTTTTTTTAAATTGTTTTTGGTTTGGTTTTATTTTTTGGTACTAAGGAAAAAAGCCTCAAGACTATAGAGGAGCCTTGTCTTTTCTCTGTGAAAAGCCATCTGGATTCGATTGAAGATACAAGTTTTGAAAACTATCATTCTCATTCTGATGCATGTGGTGTTAGCCACACTGCATATGGCAAGCTGCCAGACCAATTGAATATGAATATTTTGGTAAAATTCAAGCCAATGCAGTAGCACCATTATTTTGGATTGCAAACTCTGAGTTGACAGCTGTCTGGCAGTTGGGAGGGAAATAAACTGGTTCAGTTCTTCCCAACTTGGTGTTTGGCTCATTTCCCCTATCCTTGCATTGATTCAGAGGCTGGTAATCATTTGGAAAGGAAAGCTCCATTTCTTGGAAAAAATATAGAGAGAATGCCATGTTGGGCTGCCTTCCCAACAATTTGCTTTGCAACCAGCAGTTCTGTAGTGGCAGTTCCTTTGCTGAGATAAGAGCCCTTTACTGCTAAGTTAAGTTGAAACATTTTTGAAGATGCAGGACTCCTGTCCTATGTAACAGACAGATGATGGCATTTTTGCAACTTTTATATTGCAAAATTTATTTTTATAGTTTATAAATCATTTAGAAAACCAAGTAAAAATGTTTGGTTTGCATCTTAGGTCCATACTATAGGCACTGAAGCTGTAAGAAATAAAGGAAGAGTCTCCGTAGCAGAAGGAGTTGTATACATGCGATTGCAATGTATTAAAAACATAATTATCCCTGTTTCTTGCCATCTTTGTGCAGCACACTTTTGGGCAAGTTATTTTAAAGCATCTTTGAGTTCTTTAGTTTTTGAATGTCCATTTTCAGACAGCAGAAGCTGGTAATATAAATGCTGAATGATTACAGCCAAGCTGAAAGTTAATGATCTGTGCATATTCCCTGAATAGCTGAATAGTATCTAGTGGATATACTTTAAGGGTGTGTTTACACCAACAGTTTACTGGTGACTTCCATTCTCTATAGTCATTCATAAAATCCGTTGAAGGAACTCCAGTTCCTAAGTCTTTCTAAAACTGGTTAAGACCAGCTGTCACCACATTGCAATTGCATGTGTACATTAGTTTTCTTTGCAGCATTTTAATGTTTTTGACTGAGGCCTATTACAGTAGACAATGCACATGTTTATAAAGTACACTAGTCCCTGTTTCAACAAACTGTGCAAAACAGGGTAGAAGGGAAACCAGAACAGAGGTATAAATGGTTTGCTGAGCAAGTGAGTGGCAGAGTTAGGTGTTGAATTTAAAGCACCTGATTTCTGGCTCCCTCTGGAATGGCTTTTGAAATGTCTTTGTCTAAAAAGAGTGAGATACCTGAAAAAGGTAAGCTGTCTATGAATCGTATGTGTTAATTTCTTTTTTGCTATTGCTTGTTTGGGAGGCAGAAGTAGAGAGCAGTGCACAGGTGCATTTCTGTATTTATAATGTCAATGATCTCAATTTGTCCTTTTTATATTTCAGTTTCATGATTATGCTGAAAGGAAGGACTGGGATGCATTCCATCCTACACTAGTGGCAGAAGGTCTTTTTGCTTTTGCGAATGTTCTTAGTTATCTGCGTCTCTTCTTCATGTACACAACCAGCTCTATTCTGGGACCACTCCAGGTGAGTATCATTACTGCTTGAGAAAATATTAAACTTGATCTTAATTTGCTATGAAGAGTCTTACTAGAAAGAGAAAAAGAAGAAATTAAACTAAGAAAATGAGAAAGTAAAAAGTAGAAGGAAGTGATATTGCATTTAAGTTTGGTTTTGTAGTCTGTCATAAAACATACTGATTTAGATGGAGAAAGGTAAGAAAAAGAATGGAAGACCTAGTGTAGTTTACTTTCTTTTAATTTTTTTTCCATTATAACTGTACCTGTACTGTCTTTTTGTTTTCATCTGTTGTTAGGTTAACATACTGCAGAAGTGTCTGCAGTTTGAAAACTGTAAGGATCAGGTTCTTCCTGTAAAGTTCTATGCCAATGATCGTCCTAACTTCTTATCTGTAAAAGATAGACGAATTAGGTGTGTAGCAAGGAATAGTAATCAAAAGCCTTTCTGTTTATATCTGCGATCTCACGGAAGTTGCACGTTGAGTTGAATTGTGCAAATTGCTTCGATTTGAAAAACACAAATCTCTGAGGAGTATTGAAGTAGTCATTTGTTTATAGCCAGTTAGAAGAACCTGTTCTCCCTTCTTATTACTTGGAATTTGCTGGAGCCTTCCAGTAAGTAATAGTATCAGTAAAAAACCCCACATTTTAATTATGTAATACATTTAATTCAGTCATCTGAAGATGGTCGGGGGAAGCATTAAGAGTTTTGTGTTGTGATGCTGGAACAGTAGAGACTGCAACAGTTTCTAAGCTAAATTCCGGTTTTTCACTTAAAGTTGGAATTTAGCCTGGTTTTGTGAAAAGAATTTAGTTTTCGTTTCCTGATTTGAGAGCAGACATGGAGTTTTCTAATGAGTTTATGCCATGTACTGGTTTTTGGTTAGTTGGTTTCTTTTCTTAAGCACAGACCCTCTCATCTTAGTCTTGGTGCTATTCATCATGATAAACCTCAGAGAAACTAAGTGGACTTGAGGGTGCAATATGACAGTACACGGAAGGTCTAGTACCTTTGGGGATAGGGGAGGGAACCTGGACTATTACTGAGACATCACATTTAGGTTGCAATTACCTGCCTCAGTCCTTTTTAGATTAAAAGGAGGAAGAAAGTTTCCTTCTAAAAAATATTGTGAATAGAAGTCATCTCTTGTTCCACTAGCAACATTTTCTTTCCCTTCAGTGTTTTTTCTGTTCAGCTTGAGTCCTCAGCACTGACTGATTTTGTACTTTGCCAGTGAAAACGCCCTTATAAACTGAAGCACCTGCTATTAAAAGCATAGCTTAGTGAAAGAAGCTTTGCATAGGTATACTCCCAACTTCTCTGGCCTCACTTTCTGGCAGATTTGTGACAACAAATCAGATCAGACAAGTCCCTGCTTTCTTGTACCGATTTCCCGTGTCCCCCCCTTATTTATTTATTTTTCCCTTGATAGTGATAGGATTTAGTTAATATAGCTAGTTGTCAACCTCGTCACTGGGTTTGCAAGTGTCTGTCGAATAAAAGACACTTCAAATAAATAGGGTAGTCATCCAGTGATGATACTGATGGAATTTGTCCTAACAGGTCAAATCAATGCTTTGTCCTCTCTTCTAATGAACAGGATTAGTTTTAAGAGCTTTGTGGCAAAAGGATGGTATGAAAGGATCCTGCAAGTAACGTGATCACTATTAAGCATAAAGGCAGAATAAATATTTGGGAGCAGCATTTTTTTATTTTTAACTCTTGCTCTGCAACTAGAGCTATACCAAAGGAGGTTCTGAAGTAAATAATTTTGGCTCGGATCACTGGGTCTTGTATCAATCAAGGCTTTAGGATGTAGCTGAAAACCTCAGGTTGAAGGTTCAGCTCATTTTAATAAGTTAGAGTACTTAATCTTGCTGCACAAATAATTATCTTTTAGAATATTTTTGTTTCCTACAGAACAGTCCTTCTTTGAAAAGAAAAATAATCGCATGTTAAATTGGTCTTTTTAAAATCATCATAAAAAGTGCTTTAAAAGGAATGTTCGTAGTTCTTGTAACCAGTTTAATATTATTGGAAGATGCCTGTTTCTCCTCTCAGGGTTTTGTTTGTTTTCCTTCTTGCCCTTTTCTCTCTAGCTGTGACTATGTTGCTGTTAATTATTTTTATATTTTTTCTTTTATACATTTTTAAATGGAAATGTACTTGCATGCTTTGAAAAAAGTTGCGTATTGCATGAAAAAACTTGATGTTGCAGTAAGCATTAGGCTTGTTATACAAATTGATTGAAGTCTTTCCACATTTTAAAGAGATTCACTGTTTAATGTGCATATTTATTTATGTACTATATCTTTCACAAGTTTTTTTTTATTAGGAGGCCATGTTATGAAATTTTCCAAGTAAATAAAAACAGTCAACAGTCACGCCATTCAGTGGCACACTGAAGCTTGTGTTACTACTGTTGGCCAATACAGCTTGTGCAACAACTCTTACAGTATTTTCTGAAAGTAGGTCACAAAGTTCAAATGATGGTAATCAAATATGGCATGGAAACCCAAGGGGGGGATGGGGGGCGGACGGGGAAGGGAGCTGCTGTGTTCTCTTGGCTATTAGAGTTATTTTTAAGCATTCTGTTACTTTACTTACTGATTAATAAAACCTATTTTAATACAGATCTGTAAGTTGACTGTGTGTGGTGGGTTTTTATTATTAACAGAAGATAGAATAATATTCCTCTAGATTAAGGATTTGAAATCTAATGATCTAGAAATTCTAAATACTTAGAAAGGAATGGCATGACTGTACAAAGAAAGCAACTGGTATTTGGGCTGTGTTACTACCCTCTTCCAAACAAAATAGTTTTGGGTGAGTTGTACTTTTTGTGCATTCCTGTTCCATCTACTTTTGTATTTCTCTTGCCTGTGACCGTGTGTCAGTTAAAACAGTAAATGTTTTGTTGTTGGCATTTCTTTTTTTCTTTAAAGGGTTAGATGTGATGAAGCAGTATGATGGGGATTATCCTCTGACCAAATGATATAATTGCTGCCTACAGTTGCAGGTTCTCCATGACTGTGGCAAACTGTGCAAAGAATCAGAGAGAATCTACTGTGCAGCCAGGGTACTCAGGGAGTTTCCAGCAGCACAGGAGGGAGCAGGAGCTGACACTTCACCGCCCTGTAAACTTGTACTTGCAAAACCTGACCAGTGATAACAATTCTGGACTATGATTTGGTACAGAATCATATAGATTTGAATCATTTGATTCATATAGAATTAGGCTTTCTGCACACTGATTTATATAGAGGATTAGCTTTACCTGACCCCATTTTATGTATTTACATTCTTTATAATAGTATATTGTTCTCTGAAGAAGTTTGTAGGAGGAGTGATTTAAAGGATGTAAACAGTTTATGCTGTGCCTGTGTAAAAATTTACACTTACGATAAAAGCAAGTCAGCGTCTTCTCTGTGTTAGGAAAAATGCACAAGCATAATTTTTTTTTTTAAGTTGCTGTATTTGTACTGTTGCAAATATCTGCATAGGGTATTTTGAAATGGAAACTAATGCTGTGAATTTAGTGCCATATCTTTTGTACTTTACACCCTTCAGTTTTTAGGTGCTTGCACACCTACACGTTGTGTATGTTTAAAACATACGGTGAATTAATTCTGTATTCTGCAGATGGCTTTGATATACTACTCTTTGATTAGTGATAAATTATGATTCCACATGTTTTGATTAATTCAGTGTCCTTATTAAGTGTTTTCTTAATGTTCTGTGATGGTATTTATGTTCAAATGCATTTCATTTACTGCTTTTATCTATTGACTTGTGAGTTCCTTATTACCATTGGTATTACAAATAAAGAATAAGGTGTACACAGTATTGCTTATGGTTAATTGAAGGATATGAACTTATCAGGTGATGTTAAAACTACTTAAATTTTCTTTTAAACATCTAGCATGTTTCACTGAAAAGTGGTATAAGGGTACCTCCTGATTTTGAGGTCTAATTAGCATCTTAAAATTTAAGTTAAACATTAAAATGTGAATAGATTTTAGCTTTTTTTTATTAGAGGCTGAAGGAGAGAATACAAACAAAAATAACTACATGTTTTACTAAAATTGGAAATAAATCTGTTTCACAGATTTCAATGGGGCAGATGCTACAAGATTTTGGAAAATTTCTGGGAATGTTTCTTCTTGTCTTGTTCTCATTCACAATTGGATTGACGCAACTTTATGATAAAGGATTTACTGTAAATGAAGAAAAGGACTGTGCGGGTATTTTCTGTGAACAACAGAGCAATGACACATTCCATTCGTGAGTTTGATATCTATGAAATAGCTGTATTGTTCTAGCCCTTAATCCCTAGTAATTAAATAAAACTGGAATTTTTTACTGAATTTGAATTTACTGAATTTGAATTTACATCACTCTTGGTGTTTGCTTTACCTAACTAGATTTTTTTCCTTGTTTTTGTAGGTTTATTGGCACATGTTTTGCTCTGTTCTGGTATATATTCTCCCTGGCACATGTAGCAATCTTTGTCACTCGTTTTAGCTACGGCGAAGAATTGCAGTCTTTTGTGGGTGCTGTTATTGTTGGTACCTACAATGTGGTGGTTGTGATAGTATTAACTAAACTCCTTGTGGCAATGCTTCATAAAAGTTTTCAGCTGATAGCAGTAAGTGGTTTCTGATTAATTACGAACAATTGCTGGCTATATCTTTGGATTTTTTTATAAATTGCTTCCTACAATGTGTAGACTGATCTGCAGACCTCCATGGATGAGATCACAAGGGGCATCTTTCCTTCAAATAGGAACTTTTTGTTTACTTTGATCCAAATAAAATGAGTACTTTGCATGTTGAACATGTGCAAGGCTTTGGCCCTCTGGGAACTGAAGACTTTCTTGATACAATGGCTGATCAAGTCAAGATGCTATTCTTGATAAGGTGTGGTGCTTGGGCATTTGATAGGGGGTTCATACCTTCATAGCTGAATTTTGTATTTATAGTAGAGTATGTAGTGAAGAGATATGTTTTTATTTTGATTATTTAGTATTAGTATATTAAAGCAAAATTATTAAAATACCATATAATCTATACATTAAAATAGTGTCTAATCAAATTAAATAATGGTAAGTTTTTCAGGTATGAGAAAGTAAAACTTACAAAATATCCTGTTAATATTTTTGCTTCTGATCTCTGTTAATGTTTCTGATGCTTTAGAATCATGAAGATAAGGAATGGAAGTTTGCTCGTGCCAAGCTTTGGCTTAGCTACTTTGATGACAAATGCACGCTACCTCCACCTTTCAATGTTATTCCCTCTCCCAAGACTATCTGTTATCTTTTCAACAGTCTCAGTAAATGGATCTGCTCTCATACATCAAGTGGCAAAGTGAAACGTCAGAACAGCCTAAAGGTAAGAAATGATTGGGAGAGCTGTAGGCTCTGAAGCTGGAAAGGTGCTCCTTGCTAAAATGAATCAGCAAATTGCTGCATGAAGCTGCCTGTCACATGGTGAGTGCTACTAAGATAAATAGGAACTATAGAATAATGTGTGTTCCATCCAAAATATAAGTAAGTGTTACCTATTTATACTTGAGTAAGATTCTATTAACTTTCAGTTTTGAGAATTTCAACTCCCTTCCCGCCAACACCCAATTCCCTCAGAAATACTCTGGAAAAAATGCTTTGATTGATTGAAAACTCATAGAAACCTCAAGGAAGTATGTGCTAATCTCAAAAATGGTGAGGTTAGAGTATTCTCTGGGGAAGGTAATTGGTTTTAAACATATTACAGAAATGTCAAAATAAATAACCAAAAAGGATCACTGAAGCCTCTCATTGCTGGAGAGCGGGATGATTTTTTGGTGGGTTGGTTGGTTTGTTTGTTAAATAAACATTTTTATTGTACCCTGTAATTTTGCATACTAATTTTGCATCTTCTTGCTGACAAAAATAGCATTAAATAAACTAAATTCGAAGACTTTATGGAATGTGCACTGAGAAACATTCAGGAATATGGAACTCTTAATTGCTCATAGGACAATTACCAAGCCAGGTAGATTAAAAATTTTCAGTTTTGCTGGTACAGCAGTTAACAGTTTAATTTAAATTTTAGTGGCAATTTACATGTATTGTATATTTGTGAGCATCAGGATGTGTCTATGAAATAGCTTTGTTATTTTGTTCATATTTATTCTCTATATAAGTATACAGGCTTTAGGTCTCAAAAATCACTTTTCTGTAGTAAATGTGTGATGTTTCTTTAAAGGAATGGAGAAATCTGAAGCAAAAGAGAGATGAGAATTATCAAAAGGTGATGTGTTGCTTAGTCCACCGTTACTTGACTTCCATGAGACAGAAGATGCAAAGCACAGATCAGGCAACTGTGGAAAACCTAAATGAACTGCGGCAAGACTTGTCAAAATTCCGAAATGAAATGAGAGACCTGCTTGGCTTTCGAACTTCTAAATATGCCATGTTTTATCCAAGAAACTAAGGCCTAACTTTAAAATGAAAAGTGTGTACTTTTAGATACATATAGGTGAAAGTTTTGACCTAATTCTGTTGCCAGACCAAATAGAAAAGATTATTGCACAAAAATACATTTGAAAATGCACTTGCATGAGTTGCAGCTAGATGCAGAAGTGGTGGAAATAAATGCAAAAACAGATGCGGTAATTTTCTTAAGCTCTTAATCTTAGTGTGTATATAAAATTTGTACATAGGAATTTTTTTAATGTTCCTCAGACTATGGCTGTCAGGTGTCAGAGCTTCATAAGTAGCACAATGTGTTTATTTCTTCTATTTTTGCTGTTTCTTCCTTTTTGATACTTGTTTTTCAAGTTGTGGGAGAAGATAGGCTTTTTAAAACAAAAATCCAGCCTATGTTTATTTTTAATAGAAAAGTCAGATATAGAATAATAGAAAATTTCCATCTCAGTTGGAAATTATGTTTGACTGTAGGTTACAGTGCATGTGAAGACTGTATGGCTTTGAAAGAGGCAGTTCTAGTGCCAAGTTTTGTATGTTAACATTGACTGTATACTAACATTTATAGAATACAGAAAATCTAATAATCAAGACTCTTCCCGTTCATGGGAATATAGAAATTTTGAACTCAAAATAGACCAACCATTTCTTGATGGTTTATGGTTATATGTAAGACAATCAATTCCTGCTTGGATTTTTCAGCGGTGCCTCAAAAGTACATTTTACTATACATGTTAAGATTGGGAACATAATTTTAAAACTAACCTGTGAACTTTTAGTGTTTAATATCTTCAGTTTTTAAAATCTGGATGATAAACTATTTAAATTATTAAAACCTGTGATTTAACAAAAATGAGGTGGAGCATGTGAGTGCTATTGTTTGCAATGCTGAACAATTCCTGTGAAACACTGTACACTTCTTTCTGTGAGAACACACATTGAATCTGGTCATTGGACAGATGTAGTTTAGAAGGGCCTGCTTTAGACAGGTGTTACATATCCTACTCTTAAACTTGTCTTTCTTTTTTCCTTTTTTTTTTTTTACCACAGTTGTTGACAGGCTAAACATTTTTTGTGTGTCAGAAATACTATGTTTTGTGAAAACATGTGATTTGACTTTGCTTACAATGGACAGTAAGGGCTTTGTGGATTTTCTGTGCTAGAGAGTCCTATATGGCTTTATATGCTTATCTATAATTCAAGTTGACAAATTGTAATTGAGAAATGTGAGATTCCTGTATTTTTAATTACAAACTAAGTATATTTATGACAGCTAAAGGATTGATTGACAATTTTACTGTTATGATGGTGCTCTTCTAAAATGGTCTTATGTCTAGAAGGCGCAGGTAGCCATAGTGGTCTTTGACTACAGTTGATTTTGGGAGGTTGATAGAGTGTAGGCTTACATGAATGTTTACTTTTTTGAAGGAATTCTTATAAAACTCTTTCTTGTAAAGGTAATATATTTTCTGTACTATGAAGTTATGTATAATGTATATCTGAACTAGGGTTTAATACTCCGCTTCCAGAAGTCTTATAGAGGGATTCTGATAAGTGTTGGCTTTTCTTGTGAATAAGGAGCTAACCTCTTATGTTCAAAGCCAAGAGGATCACTGAATTTTGTATTTGGACTTGGATCTCATGTTTGCATAATACACCAACATAAAAACTACGTGCTGTGTATGTTATGTATATCCAAGAAAGGAAGTAGACAAATAAAAGCTCTTTGAAAAATATGGTTGTATTAATATTAGTCATATTTGAAACAATTATATCAGGTACCTTATTAAAAGTAATTTCTTTGTCATGTTAAGACAGTAGGTTTAAGGAAGGTAGCTGGACAGTTCTGGTCATGCACAGAGACAAAATTTTAGGTGTTTGTGATACTTCTTTAAACGGGGATGTCAAAAAAACAAGTTTGGAGAAGCTGGAGTTTACTTGGCTATAGGATTCAGAATTTCTTTGTAAAAATTTCGGTGCAAGTCATGAAAGGACTAAGTGGGTTTTGTGAGACTACTGAAAAATGTTGATTTTTCTTTCATGTTAATGTCTGTTTTGTCTTAGAGCTAACTTTGCCTTGATGAATGAAAAATGGAGATGGAAATTTTCATGCTACCTCCATTTGTAGCAGAAACATCAAAACCATTCATTACTGAAAGTCGGCTTGCTTTATGCTTTTGCTGAACTATGGGTTGAAATGATTTCAGAAATTGTATTGTGGTTAGATAATTTTGGTTGTTTCGTTGCAGGTTGGATTTTAAATGTTTGAAGCTTACAATCACTACATCTGCTTTTAAAAACTTGTTAATAGTTCTTACCTGTGTTTTGTAACCAGTTCTTACTTGAGAAAACTGGCATTGCTCTCTGTTTCTTTTAAGTCCTGGCTCCTGTTCCCTGTTGCAGGGCTACTGCTGTCAGTGCTTTGATTCAGGAAAGAAGCTGGTCTCAAGGGAGTGTTGAGAAGAGCAGGCAGGAGCTTTCCCTGCCTACCATTTTGGGAGACGAGGAGCAGGCTGCCAGACTCTTCTTACCTCACTGAAAAAAGCTGCACAACAGATGGTCATATCATAAATAAAAATTGATTATTGTAGTTCAAGACAGTTCCAAGCATGGTTTCCACATTGCTTCTCCCCAGGCTGCTGCTGAGAAATGTGGAGAGCACCGTGCATAAAATCCCTTAATCTGCATAGGAATCAATAGTGGAAAATTAAAATTACAATTTTAAAATTACAAAACTACATTTGCTTTGCAAACAAATGTTGCTGTCAGTTCCATAGAGAAATGCTGTTTGGTCTAGTCGGTAAGGCAAAGGCCTAGCAATCTGTAAAGTGTGGTGACAGCACTGAGCTGTTTGATGTGAGTTGCCAGCACAGCCTTTTTGTACTCTATGCCTCCGCTTCTTTTGTCTCCTCCCTAGCTACCAATTAAGTCTTCGCGACAGACGCTGCCGTGCTACTGAGTTGCGCTGCGGCAGTACCTCTTGGCATTAGCTATGAGAATCAATAATAGAAGAAGAATGGTAATCCACATTGCAGTGCTGAAATAAGCAATGAGTACTGCCAGTAGGGACTCTGTATTTCGTTACGGTTTCCTGCCCGTGGTTACGGATTGTCAAAAGAACTCTGGTATGGCATTTATATACGAAGAAAACAAATACTTAAAGGGATCTTAGATTCTGTTTCATCCCTGTAATTTTTATTAGTATTCAAGTTTTAGCCAGTTTGAAAAGCATGTATTTCATACCTGCTTTTGACCAAAATGTTCTTCAAATTCTCAGTCTTAATCTTTACTAACGATCTGTTTCTATTTCTCCATCTTTCGTTGTAGCCTTTCAGTTTCAGAGTAACAAGTAACTGTATACAACAGACAGACCTGTGAAAGATCTCTTAACGTTGTAACATTGTCTAACTGCTTCCAGTCTGTTCCTTCCCTTATTCTCAAAATAGCTACTTCTTCAACCTTTTGCATATAGGAATGAAATAAATTAGACAGGCTACTGTTTACAATACTGGTGCCAGACTGAGCATTGCTGTATTGTCCATCCTTTCACAGTAGAGACAAAAATTTAAACTATTTGCATGTGCACCATATTAATTCTTGCCTTCCTCCTCCCCAATTACCTTACGGAATTTAATAGTGACATTTAGTAATTCTGTTACAGTCATCAGTAGAGAAAGGCATGGTGCTGTTCTACAGTTGTGTAATTCTTTGAAGAGTAAATCCAGTTCCTATTCAAAACAATGATTCACTGACTTCAGTGGAAGGCAATTCAGGCCCTTAATCAGCAAGGAAGTGTAGTGTCAGTTGTACTATGCAAGACCCAAACCATCAGAAGCATGTAAATGATCAAAAAAGAGTTTCTATGTTTAGCCTGCCCCACTTTATACATAATGAATAACTAGTTGGTCTATGATTTAATCTTGAAAATATTTTATTAAGCACAGATAATAATGCAGAAATCCATGTAATAAAACAACTTTAGAGAATAAGCTAAGTTAAAATGAGTTACTATAAATATTGCACTTAGAATTCTTATTTTACATACACACTCCTTAAAAAATTGGACAATTATAAATTAACAGCTTCCAAGTAATTGGAATTTGGTATGTCAGAGATCAGATGGCTGTGCTGCAAATCTTCAGCTTTAAGACTTAGGAGGATCTGTTCTCGTCTTGTACATGTAATGAGTACCACTTTGTGCCAGGGTGTGCTTAGGTGGATGGGAGGGAAGAAAGGGTGAGCATGGTCTTAGTGTTGACAGTCAGCTGTATTTTCATGACTTATACTAAGTGAGAATTATTTTTCAAGAGAGATGATAGAATGCAGCTGCAGAGTTTAGTTTTAACATGTTTTGTTTTTCAAGGCATTTAGGATCTTTGAGTTCTTAGTCTTAAAGCTCATGACAAAGCTGTTGGGAAAGACTTTGCCTCTACCATCTTCTTCTACCTGGCCCATGATGATGTAGTTTAAACCTACAAAGGAGAGGATGAGATTACCAGACAGAAATCCAGGACGTGATTTGGTAAGTATAGTTCTTTACCTGTGGTCTCTATTTGTTTGCACTCTGTTACCAATGCCTTGTAACGTTTTTTCTTTCCTACCTAAAGCATATACTTCCTTTCCCATCTTTGCCATGCTTGTTATGCAATAAAGTACAGTTACATAAAAGTCAAGTAAATACATAGCTAAGTATCTGCTACATAATCAAATATATGAGATATTCCTTAAAAGTAGACTGTCGAAATAAGTCCAAAAGACATTAGAAATGCAGTATAAACACTGGATAACTTAGCTACTAACACCCAAAGTGGAATGTGTCTCATTCATTTTGAATATTTTCTCATTTGCTCAGCTTGTAGGATAATGCACTTAAATCTTTTCATTCCCTTTTCCTCCCCCAAAGACATAAATATTTTCTAGATATATATAGAGGCAGTCAGGCAAGCAAGGTGGGCTTGATGTGTGATAAGCTCTGGCTTTGGAAAAATCAGATGGATTTGCATATTTTTATGGCTTAGAAGGGTTAGGGGTTTGCAGGGCCTTAGGCTGGAAGGAGTGGTATTACAGAGGTATAAGCAGAAAAGTTTAGATGCTAAATAATAGCTATTAAATAGTGAATGGAGATTTAGGATGAGAAACAGAAGTCTGCCTAAAAGGAGACAATTTGTTCCACCAACAAAGGATATTATTATATCTCTTAGATGTCTAGTTTCCTGAGAACTAAAGGTAAAAGCAAAAGCTAGTTTCTGACAAGGATTTTTCACTTTGGTACTGCCCACTTTGAATTAATATGCTTAAATACCAGTAGTATTCTGAATGTTGTCAGCGTTATTTTGATGCTTATTAAATTATTTTGACTGTTTCTTGCTATGGTTCCATTTATGTTCTTCTGTTCTACCTCTTTACTCAGGAGGCAGAGCTGAAAACTCTTTTATTTTTGACTTTGTTACTTCAATGAAAAATAGTCTCAGTATTCCTTATAACACCATATAGGTAGCCCTTGTTACATTTAACTGGAAATTATCTTGGTTGATCTCTGTATAATACTGTTTAAGATCGCTATAGAAATACTGGCTGTTTGCAGATACAGAGTGGGCTTAATATTACTAGTATTTCTACACTAAAGGTGTAAATATATACAGGAGAGAAGCAAGAGGGGAGTGTGTTGAATTTTGTCATTTGCTGTGACATACTGCTCTTCTAGGTTTAGCATGCTGATTTTTTTCCCTTCTAAATAACTGTGTATGTAAACTAGCTCCAAAATAAGTACACATAAAACCAAAATCCAACTGAGCTTCATTTGAGAGAACCAAATCAGATTTTACTTAGCATCATGTGAGTTTTAAAAAAAAAAAAAAAAGTTTTTCAAACTTCTTTGATCTAAGTGAGTCTAATCCTTTATAAGTAAAACTGAAAAATGCAATATAAACCTGGAAAACTAGTTATTTTTATCTTAAATTGATTATAATATTAGTTGCTGAGTACAGAAACAATTGCTGTAATTTTACTGATTTTTGTGGTCATATTTCAAATAACAGTTTTCAAAACTGTTGTCTTTTATAAACACACAAAGCAGTTATTTTTGTGTACTTACCTCTTCTGATGAGAGGACACTGCTTACATACAACAATAATCTTGGCACTCATACTCTTCCCGGCTTGTTGAATTGCTAAATTTCCCTCCTTATATACATTAATGATGGATATTGTTGCATGCAGACTGCCAGCCCGTGTTATTGCTGTGATTACAGTTCCAGTTATTACTAGAAGAAAAGACATTTGATACATTTGGTACATTTTTATTATTATTTTTAGACATAAATTTTGAGGCATCATAAAAACTGAGTAAATATATAAATCTATAATCAGGAAACAAACAATACTGGAAACAGTTACTAAAATTGTGAGTATCACCTGTAATAGATAACTGACTACTGACAAATTTTAGTGGCACCAAATATAAAACTGTTCTAGAATATATCAGTCTCTTGCAAGCCCAGTTCTAGGTTTTGATAATTTCAATTAACCAGTACAATTTGATACTACTTTTAATGACTAATTTTAGAACAGTGGCGAAGTTGAATTGAAAACGTTCTAGCCAAAAGCTGAATTCCCATCTCTCTGACACTCTTAAATGAGTAGCAGGGAATAGTTAATGCCCTAGGAGCTAGATTTTGATCTATCTGAGGCTTGACACTGATATGAATTTGCTGATTTCAGCTAAATTTAGACTACAGATTAGACCATCATATCTCCCAAAGACCTCTCAGTATGAAAATAAAGATACCATTTTTTTTCCTAGAATGACTAGATTAATTTGTAGGCCATCTTTATTTATCAAAAGGGAATAGTAAATGGTATTAACCATTTTTTTTCTTCTCAGATCACCTTTTGTAAATAATCGATTCTATCTTAGGATCAATTAGATCCTCGGTTATCAAGTACTTGCAGCCAGATTTATTTTACAAATCTGCATAATCCACATTTTGGGTTAGGCGTTTGTAAATTTGTGCATTATCTTCCTTGAATCCAGAGCTTTTATTTAAATAGGAATGTTCAAGTTCAATTAAAAGAGAACTGTAGATGTTAAAATGCTGAGTATTGCAGTTATGTTTCTAGAAACAGTAAAAATCAAATGCATGATGAAAGAGAAATAGCTTTTATTTTCTAAATTCATAAAGTCAGCAAATAAATTTAGAATAAATCATACTCTACAAACAGCACACTTTCTGTTCTTACCTTAGGGTAAACTTGCATTCACAGCAGTATATAAAAAAATTTTTACTCTTACTCCTGCCTTGCAAAAGACTGAAAAATTTCAAGTATTTGACAGAAGGTAAGAGAGGAGAATATGATTTGTTACCCTGATGCTAGAGGAAAAAGTTTTATATTGTGTCATTTACCATCAACCTCAAGAGCTGAAGTCTGGTCAGTAAGAGACGGGGGGTTTTTTGGTTTGGTTTGGTTTGGTTTTTCTCCTACCTGCTTTTCGTCTTGGTCCAGCCTGTACTGGTTGCAAATTAAAACAGGCTGATGGTCAAGAGTGGTAAGGGGTCATGCTGCAGTGACTCCATTCTGCTTTAGGGTACAGCCACAGCCCTCAACTGTTTTTCTAGCAAAATGATGCAAAGCTGCCCCCACATTGCTGAAACAGCAGATTTCCTCAAATCTCATGGGATTAGCTATAAAGTTAGAGAGAGTTAGATTCAAACAAACAAAAAGGGGGGCAGAGGGGAAAGTTGTCCCATCAAATTTTTAGGCATGTTATAGGGGATTAAAAAAGCTTCCAGTATTACTATGGAAAAATACTCTGAAACATTTAATTGCATTATCAGCAGTGACAATGCCATCCAAATATACAGCAGACACCATTCTTCCTTAGTGGTTTGTGTCTATGTACGGAAAGCAGTGCTTGTGAGCTTCCATGCCTTCTAATTTCTTTTAAAAATATTTTGGAAGTCTATAAACTGAGTTGTTCAAGTCAGCAGGTACAGCATAAATTGTGTATTGGCTGGTTACAGACAAATGAGATGACAATACAGTAGTTGAATCAATACTTTCCTGTAGCAGGTTGTCTTACATTGTCATTTGCTTTTCAGATTGAGCAAGGATGTTTGGTTCAGACATATGTGCAGTGCCTATTTCGGAATATCTCCAAGAATGTATTGAGTGAAACACAGATGCTAATGTCAGATACACACATAAGACGGTGTAAAAATATAGCCTATATATTAATGGTAACTCAGAACTACATCTGGTAAAATTCCTATGAGTCTAAAAACACAGTGCCAAGTGAATAATTAAAAAGAAACAAACTTTGTTTCCTTACCGAAATTACTTGAACAATAATTGCTTTCGAGAGTCCCACTCCTCTTACACTTTTGCTGGCACAGGGCAACCGTAGGTTTCACAACTTTTTGAAGAGCAAAAAGTAAATTGAAATTGAAATGAGGTATTCGATACAAATGCAAAGCAGTATGTTTAAAAAAAAAAAAAAACCAACAAGAAAAATGAATAATCCTGATGTATAAATTAACTAGATCTGGTATTGCAAGGGATGAACACCACAATAACAATATTCCTTTTCTGTGCCATCACTGCCAATGATCATCTTTTCATGCGTATCACAGCTACGTGTTGGTTCTAGTGACCTTATTAGAATGGGATGTTACAGACAATTTACATTTGATTGCAGTGTGATCTTAAATGTGTAACTTATAGTGTTGTTGCCTGTTGCCATACAGCCCTAGCAGTACACTTAAAGTATCATGATATTACAATAACACTTCAGAAGGAGGGGGTGGCCTTTTGTCTGAAAGTACTGTACTGTGATGGAAGAGATGAGAGTTCAAATTCCTGGCTTTTTTCCTAAATTTTTCACGTAGCTTCATGACCTATAGTACTGTACAGTTTACAGTGGTGACATTTGGAAACATAACATAATATTTGAAGTCTCTCTTTAATATTAGGAATGGACATTTCCTTTCTGAAATGGAATGCTTTGTTTATAAACAAGTGAATACACTTTGTATGTTTTTGCTCCTTGGGTGGATGTTAATAATCTCTGCACTTTACTCAGCTAACTCTTTCTATGTAACGTGTGTGGATGCAGTATTTTTAAGGCTTTTTTGTCCTTTTCAAATTTGTTTGGAATTGGTCAGTAACATCGTAATTATTGGAAACATGGAGCTGAGACGGACAGATTTAAAAAAACACAAATCCCTATATAACCCTGATTTCCAAGAAAAACTAAATTAGTTGTGAAGAATATCTTTACAGTTTTTTACTTTCTTTAGAATGGAGCATTTTGCAGAAGTTTTATTGAGTCTATACTTTCTGAAAAGAACTAATTTTCCAATCAGTAATTTATACTTGTACTTCTCTTTAATTGAATGAATTGATTCTTTTTATAATTTTCCAAGTTTCTGAGATTCAGCTGAATGGCATTAAAATTACTTCGTTTTCCCACAACTGTTAGAAGATCTGCATACTCATTGTTTTGCCTTTCAAATCCAAAGGTTAAAAATTGGACCCCATATTTTTCATTGATTTCAGATGGTTTGTTTGTGGGTTTTTTTTTCAGTCTTCACATGACTGGTATTCAGTGAGACTCTTCAGAAAGTTAAACGCCTTCCACAAGTAAAGAAGAGCAAGTTAGTGTGTCAATGGGGACGTATCTAGTCATATTCTGTATGATGTAGCCTCAGTCCTGCAGTCAGACCTACACGGTCATGGGAGTGAAATACCCACTGCCATCACTTCTGCTGCCGTGATGTGTCTGCATAGTTCTTTCCTACCACTGTGTATTTCTAAAAATATTTTTAATTATATGCTGAGTTGCTTTTTATAAAGTGACTTCTGTTTAGAATACAATGTAGAAATAATACTCTATATTCAGCTCCTAGAACTTTAAACTAAATGATAATTTTTCAAATTATTGTTTCAAATTACAGTTAGTGCTTGGCAGGGTGCCATGCCATTTAATTAGTTTTCTGGCTCACTGTGTCAGTTGCTAAGTCAGGCAAGTACCTCCTATCTCGGTGCTACAGGCAGCACAACAGAAACTAAGAATTTAATGTTCTTGAGTCTTTCAATTCAGTGTCCATAGTAGGAAGATAAGAAATGTAGCAGGGAGATGAATCACAGGTGCATGCCAGTATGGTAGCTGCCAAAAATTTATTGAGGTGCTCTTGATTTTTCTAAATTTACAACTGAGATTATGCATTACAGAATATCTTGTTTGGTCCTTTCAGGAGTTTTTTTTGTGCTAACATTTCAAGGTTTACTTTGGAGTTTAGTAACTTTTGGTTGGTGACTAACTTTGCTATGATTTATCAGTAGAGGCTGCCTATTGTTTGTATGGACAATTAAGGTATTTTAGCAAAATATGGATTGGAGAAGAACTGAATTAAAAGTTTAGTTGCCTACCATTCTCCATGTAGCCATATTGACAGACAAATGCATGACTTGATCCAATGAAATAAGAAAATCAATTACTTAACCATATGTATTGCATTAGTCTTCATTATTTTATTAATGTATAGCATTTATTTCTTTGAGTACTAGTATTTTTATGTAAGATAGAGACTGAGGTAATTCTTGAAAGTGCCTACTACAGTTAAATATTTTATTAATGCCTGGAGCTCTGTGCAAGTTTGAACAGCTCTGATTTGCAAGATAATAAGCTAAGTCTGTTTGAACTAGACACTTCTGAATGCAAATGATTGATCAGAAATTTAACTAAACTGTAGAAGTTTGGTGTGCTTTGGTTTGTTTTTAAGAGCAGAAATGCCTACACGATGAGTAACTGATCAGACATTGAAAGGACTTCTTTTTTCTGTCTGCCTGACAAGTCCTTATGAACACGTTCCCTCTGTTGTTCTCCCTCAGATGACTTTGCATTGTTTTTATTTTCTAACACTGATGTTGTCATAAAAAATTATTTGGAATTAATTAGTAAAGCACACCTCTCTTGCATGTGCACACACAAACAGCTCACAGAGCAAAACTCAATGGCAAAACACTGAACACAAATGCAGCAAGAGATGTCTGACAGCTTGGATTAGTTGAGACCAAGTGTTTGAACTAAAACTTCATTAAGAAGTGCTTTATAATGAACAAGAGCTGAATTATTATTAGAGTAGCAGTCACATCAGAATGATTTATAGGTTATTATGATTTCATTTTCATAATGCTTATTTTAATCTATTTTAAGTACCTTTCATTATCAGTATTTAAGTACCACAGCTTCTTGGTTTCCTGAAATGCTGACAGGCCATTGCTGTCTTGACTTTTGATGCATTTTAAGTACAAATCCGGTTATGTGTGGCAAAAACATCATAAATAATTCTGTTTTCTGCTATAACTGTATCTTGTATCTCTCACAATCAGGTTATGGAAATTGTAAGAATTTATCCCCTCAGTATCTCAGTAATGAGGTAGTTTTGGCAATACCTTCAGAGGAATCCTCCTCTGATCTTTCGTATACGCTGTCTGGTCTTAAATATAAAAGGAAACTTATTTTTAGTGTGACATACTTCTTTGTAAGTTCCAATCCCTGAATTTTTTAAAATCAAAATAATTCTCGGAGAGTGTCGTATTGACAGGGTGTCAACAGAATCTGATGAGGACTCAGGTGGCTTCCATGCCAATTTTGCTTGATCTTAATAACTATATCAAGAAAAATACGGTCAGATTTTTACATATTAACTTGTATAGAAGAAAGAGTTCCTTTAAATAAAACTATTTCTTGAAATACTTAGAACTTCTTATAGAAAAGAATTTTGTTCATCCATTCTTCTATGGAATTTGCTAGTTAACTGTCAAAAATTGAGAAGAGACAGGAAAATTCTCTCAGCTGGAGTGAGTTACTGTTGCACTGAATTCTCACCTGGATAGATTTCTTTTTAATAATGTTAAGTTGATTCTCCCTTGAGTATATTAATTTTAATTCATTCCCTCAACATCTGAAATACTAATAGACCATAAAACTGTAATTTTTAATATACATTCTATTACATTTTTCCTTAACCCTCTCCTTATCCTGGAATAATTTATTTTTCTAAGAAATAAAATAAAGCCAGTAAAACTTACCTGAGGTAGGAGGGACTGTTGTGGTAGTAGGCGGAACTGTAGTTGTGGGTAACTTTTTTGGTCTAAATTTATAATGGCCAATGAAACCATCAGCTGTTAAGCTTAAATCAGACAAAAACTGTATGAGCAACTCATTTCTCTCAGATAGAATAGGCCTGAAATAGAAAAAGAAAACAAAGTATTTCCATTGTTTTGAATGTCAGAGCCAAAAAGCATTACTAGCATTCTTCTCACAAAAAAGAAGAGACCGCACTTCACTTTAATTATTGGTCTGAATACAGAATCTTCCCCCAGACTAATACTGAAATACATGTTTCTTCGCTGGCATGTCAGCCACTGGTGTTTGGAGCGTGAAACCCATTCTGATGAATCATCTAAACCTCTGATTCCTGAAGGTTATGTCAATATGAGTATCTTTGAATTCTTCTGTGTGACTTCATTGCAGACTTCACTTCTGTGGAAGGGTAGGGGCTAGATTAACACAGTGGAAAAATACATTGAAGAAATCCTCAGTAGGTAGTGGAGGTAAGTAAATGTTTGGGGTTTTTGAATTTGTTTTGTTTAAAGAAAAACATATTATGCATTTGGAGGGTCTTAAGAAAATGAATTCAATGTTGGATTCTGTGATTCTTTAACCAAAACACTTAAAAGGAAATGTTTTGGGTTATTATTTCTGTGGGCTCAGTTTTTGTCAATGATTTGATATTTATTACCAATATCTTGAAGATCTAATGGAGAGCTAATGGAGTTAGTTTCTTAGGATTTGAAATGTGATGAACAAGCACTGTTCAGTGTATTATTTTTTCAGTTCATAAACTGCATAGTACCTTCCATGACACTAACTGCCTCTGGATGTGGATGTAGTGCGATGAGACTTCATTCACAACTACCGTTAGAGAAAACCATATGGAATGCAAGTCTAGCCAAAGCAGCACTTCCATCATTCTTTCAAACTTTCCATAGACCTTGTATCAATATTCATTAATAATTAGTAACACAAATTTTTCAAGCAAAACCACAGTTTTTGGAAAGAGGAAGAAAAATAAATACAGCGGCAAAAGAATCTTTGTGAGGAGAGAGCAAAATAGAAAAGTGGTTTTAAGATAGAGTTTAACTAAAATGACTGTGTTGTTTCTTCCCAGCAAGTCTGACAGAGTTCATGAGCAGGAGTTCTTCAAAACACTCAATCAGGCCTTTGAAGTAAAAACTTGTGATCATCTCCCAGCTTTTTGGCAGGTGTTTCAGAAATCAGTTTACTCTGATGGCTGAATCTGACATAACAAAAAGTAAGTGCCTGCTTATCTGGAATTCTGTAGATTCACAGATCCCGCGGTAGTTGCACAGATTACACTTTTCTTGCCGCAGTATTGACACAGGCTGTGGACGTAGGAGGACCCTGATTATCGGCTGCCCGAGAGCTTTGTTCTGCTTCCTGAACACCAGGACTGCAACACCAAGTCTGAAAAATCCAACCTAGTCTGTGTATCCTATCTTTTTAAGGAAGGCTTTTTGTCTGAGAGGTGGCGGGGGGGGGCAGGGGGTGAGTAATTACTTTTGCTAATAAATTGTATTAGGTATACTATTCATTTATGTATCATAATAATTGTGTTTAGGAATCAGGTATCTGGTTACACTGTATGCTTGCTGGTCTGCAGTTGGATCTGAACTGAGCTCTGCAACTAGGAAATGAGTTCAAGGTATCCACTTTATTCATACTTCTGAGGTATACTGTTTCTGTCACAGAATGCCATGTTACGTTATCTGTATCTGCTGGTTAATGAGCTCCACCTTGCATAATTACAGTGTCAGACACACAACTAATACTCTTTATAGAAGGCTTCCTTCACAATTCAGTTTACAAACCATGATTTCTGGTTCTTTCACAACACTGATCTTGTTCTTGCTGGTTTTCTGAACCCAGCTGATAAATTATGATGAGAATTCTGCAGAGCTAGTGGAAAATTCCTTCAGCAAGGCGTTTGACACTGTCTCCCATAACATCCTCAAAGGTAAGGTCAAGAAGTGTGGGCTAGATGAGTGGACAGTGAGGCAGATTGAGAACTGGCTGAATGGCAGAGCTCAGAGGGTCGTGATCAGAACTGGAGGAGTGGCTGATACACCAGGAGGCTGCACTGCCATTCAGTGAGACCTGGGCAGGCTGGAGAGTTGGGTGGAGAGGAACCTGATGAGGTTCAACAAGGGCAAGTGTAGGGTCCTGCACCTAGGGAGGAATAACCCCACGCACCAGTACAGGCTGGGGGTTCACCTGCTGGAGGACAGCTCAGTAGAGAAAGACCTGGGGGTCCTGGTGGACGACAAGTTGCCCATGAGCCAGCACGGTACCCTTGTGGCCAAGAAGGCCAATGGTATCTTCGGGTGCATTATGAAGAGTGTGACCAGCAGGTTGAGGGAGGTTCTCCTCCCCCTCTGCTCTGATCTGGTGAGGCCACGTCTGGAGTGCTGTGTCCAGTTCTGGGCTCTCCAGTTCAAGAAAGACAATGAACTACTGGAAGGGCAACAAAGATGATCAGGGGACTTGAGCATCTCCCTTATGAGGAAGGGCTGAGGGAACTGGGTCTGTTCAGCCTGGAGAAGAGAAGATTGAGAAGAGATCTCATCAATACTTATAAATACCTTTAAGGGCGGGTGTGAAGAGGATGGGGCCAGACTCTTCAGTGGTGCCCAGCAACAAGTTAAGGGGCAATGGGCACAAACTGAAACTCAGGAAGTTGCATCTGAAAATGGGGGAGAACTTCTGTGCTTTGAGGGTGACAGAGCACTGGAACAGGCTGCCCAGAGAGGCTGGGGAGTCTCCTTCTCTGGAGATATTCCAAACCCGCCTGGATGTGATCCTGTGCAACTTGCTGTAGGTGAACGTGCTTTGGCATATGGGTTGGACTGGATGATCTCCAGAGCTCCCTTCCCTGACCATTCTGTGATTCTGCAATTCTGTGATTCTGCGAAAATCCCCAAGAGCCATACTTTTGCCCTTTCACTGGATACAGAAACTGCCTATATACAGTTTGCAAGGGAAAGTGACTGTGTTCAAGCTCTATATTGGATCTCCGGTTAGGAAGCAATGCTATCCTAAAATTGGCTTTCAGGACACTTCTAACGTTCTGTAACAGCAAATCTCATCTCTAAGCTATGTGGCCTAGGTCTGAGCCCAGTATTCTGCCCTTATTTGCCTGTTGCACAAAGTCCATACTAAAATGTCTATATTTTGAAGCCCACTAGGGTTTGGCAGACCAATCTACAGCTTTGACTTGCTGTGGGGATAGATGCCAAGCCACAGTTGAGAGGTGGTTTAGGAAGCTACTCCTGGTTACCTCTCAGGGTCTAACTGGCACTTCTTCATTTTACACTGTCCTGTCAGCCAAGACCAGATCCTGACAGTGCAAAATGTCCTTGCACGGCTGAACTAGGTTTTAGCTGGAAAGAGGCAGCTAAGTCCCAGGGACTGGAGGCCATTAGCCTCATCTGTAAGGGGTGGTGTTCACTGCCGCATTCCGAGAACCAAGGGAAGGACAAAATCTTGTGGAGTTCAGTTCTTACCTCAGTTGGAAAAGGTCTGAAATGTCTCAACTTACATGGAGTGAGTCAAACTACACTCTAATCATGCTTCTGGATTAAACTCTGTTCAGCTAGGAAGCAAGTCCATTTGCTCCAGCACTTTGGATCCAACTTGTGTACAACAAAACACCCATGGTAGGAACTGAAGGTATTTGTATGGAACATCGCTACTTAAGTGTTTCTAATAGAAGATTCTGTTAGGTTTGAGGTTTTTTTACAGTAGCTTGAAGGTAAATACCTTACTGTTCAACAGTAACTGTTGAGTTGTAAGGGATGGATCTGCAAAGTCACAAGGAGGTTCTCATGCTATGCTCATCAATAAAATACCTGTCTGTCTGGTGATCAAGTATTAAGGAATGTAACTAACGTCTGTCATCTGCTGGTTGCTTTTTTTATTGTGTTTAAAGAAAGAGGAGTGTTTGCAATAGAATTCCCTCTGGGAAGGTATTTTTACTTCAGATGATGTTGATTTGTTATTTAATATATACAGATGCTTACAACATTCAGGTTAAAGAAACATATCACCCATTTGGAGACCCATTCAGTTCATCTGCAGTCACTCCAAGTGCCACAGCACTGCAAGGTAACAATCTCAGTTTCCACGTAGAGTTCTAAGCTATAAAGTATGAAGTCGCTTTACTATGAATACATACATGAGGTAAAAATGGAAAAATTCTGAATGTCATTTGGCAAAGAGGTGGAAGTGAACGACCAAGATTTCTAACACACCTCCTTGCCTTGAGGACTCCATACTAACTCTGCGTTGCAGAATCTCCCTGCATCTCACAGCCTTTGGGTTGGAGGCAATATGGAAAGATAGTTTACTTTTGCTAGTGAAGTTTTTCCTGAAAACAAGGAACTGATTATGTATGTAACTACAACTAGAATTTAGCCTCTGGCATCATTTTAGTGGCCTGAATTACCTAGCACTTAAAGAACAATCTTACCCATAAGACTCTGTTATCAGTATCTTTTTACACAGCAGCTTTTTTAACTTTACTACAAGTAGGGGGCCTGAAAAGAAATATCTTCATGTAGAAACTTTCAAATTGGAAAAAAAAAAAGAAAGAAAAAAGAAAAGTGTAACTCAAGACCAAAGGCCTAAGGTGGCTAAAGGAAACTGAAGTTAATATATTTCAGGTGCAGCCCTACCCTTAATTAAATTCTTGCTGAATTTCTAATACATTTCCATAGGCCTAAGCTTACTCTCATTTCTAGCACTGTCATGCTATTGCATAGCTGCTACATGGAGAAGAAAAACCTTTAAAAAGACTCCTTTTAAAGAGTCCTACAGAATGTCTGCCTCCCCTCTCATCTCCTGAGAGTATACTACATAACCTTAAAAAACTCAACCAAACAAAAAAATCACAAAACCCCCTCATAGTAAATCTCAGTCTAGCAAGCTATGCTTAGAAAGACTGAGACATGCACCTCCTCGCCCTGTACCGCAATTTGTTGCTCCTGGGAATCAAACTAGCTGCCACTTCTGAGACTTAAGTCTAGTTATACACCTCCATGTATTTTTTTTTTTTTATAGCTGGTATTTCTTGAAACAAAATGAATCCTCTTCATCTTCTCAAGCTACTCAGCTTTAAGAAGCTTCATGGAAGAGGCACAATGGGAAAGGAGAGCTAAAAATTACTAGCCTTACCTAGAAAACTTTACACTTTTTTGAGGAATAATTATGATCCACTATTGCTAGACCTGATTATATAGTTATAGTGCCACTGGCTGGGTTGGGGGTGGTTTTTGGGAGTGGGAGGCTTGGGGTGATGGGTTGTATTTTGGGTGATAGGTGAGTTGGGGGGGTGTTGAGGAGGTTTGGGGGCTGCAATTTGATAGCAAAGCTGGTGAAGGTCTGCTGTGCTACTCAGCATGCTCAGGAAAACAGTCTGTGCCATGGCAGAATGTGCCTTGGGACAGATGGAAGAGATTGTGAGCAGTGACACAAGGAGCAGCCAGGGAACCAGCAGAAGGGAAGTGGCTGAGGGGGAAATGAGTCAGATAAAGTGAGTGACGAGCCAAGGGGCTAGACAGTTCAGCTGGATCCTTGTACTTCAGTATCTATAATCAAAACGTATGTATTAAGTGATGTTAGTGTTCAGCTACCATTAATATTGGTATTATACCAGTATCAATAGTGTGTTATACCAATATAAATAGCACCAATATTGGTATTATTAGACAGTGCTCTCATGAGGCTTGAGGGACAGGAGAGAACACGGGTTGGAGCCAGGGCTAGTCATGGAGGGAGAGAGAAAAGAGAAAACCTAGGGAGAGACAAGATACTAAGCAACTCCTAGAAGTTCACTTAGAGGTAAAAAATATCATATTTAATTTAAAAAGAATAAAAATCTTTCAGAAGCCTAGTATAAAACTGTTTGCAAAATGGGACATGGTAGTGAAGTTCAGAATTCAAGAAAGTTACTTACGCTGGTGGGCTGTCTCCACAGTACTTCCCAATTCTTTTGGCATCATTGATTTCCCCACCATTAAACACTGCAACATAGTCGTATCTGCAGTAGTTGTCTCTCTCCACATCAAACTTCTCAAACTTTAACTCTATTAGCTGCAAGGAAAGTGTAAATAACTCATTAAAGTTTTGATATGCAGAATTTATTAGTGCTTCTTACAGTAAGTGACCTCTTCATATCAAGTACTAATTAATTTTTCTTTCCATAAAGGAAAAGTCCTTAATCCACTTAACTGTGGAGTAAAGTATTTTAATCCATGTGACTTCTCTCCAACAAATAGTTCAACGTATGACTCGATTCTATAAAACATTTTGTTCTCAAACATATGCAAATAACTTCTGATAAAGTTATTTTTACAAGTGAATGAAAGCAGGGTAGTTCGTGTTAGGTGATATGTTGCTTTTAAAATAACTGTAACAAATCTAAACCACAGAAAAGGGGCTGTTAGTGTCATTATATCGTTCAAGATACCCTAAAGAAAAAGCAAGGGCAAACTTGGCAAGAGCCATTTCACTGACTTCGTTAACAGCAGTGTTTGAATTACTGCGGTTTCCAATGCTGTGTTTACTTGATATAGAAATAAAAAGGTCAGAAACAAAAATATTGCTAGAAAGAACATTAGTAAATAGTAAGACTAAAACCAAGAGAAAGTAAGTTGTTAAAGGAATTGTGTTTCCATACAGGATTTCCATAAATGTTGGGGCTTTACAAGTCATAAGTGAGAACTAGTATAACTCTGGTATTTCCAGTACTGATGCTATTATCTCTAACATGACTTGTATTTATGGACTTTTCTACTTAAGAAAGAAAAACAATGGACAAGAAAACAGAAATGGAATTTACTGCTCTGAAACAAAGTCCTGCAGTATGATTCTGTCAGTTGTGTATAGCAAGGAAGGAAAACATAACTGCATGATTGAAACAGAGGTAATATATGCATGTAGATTGCTTATTCATGTGAAGCACAGCAGTATTTAAATCACCTTCCAATAAATAGCACAAATGAGGCTCGAATGACAAAACTGAATTGTGCTGATTGTAGATATGCAGGATTCCTCTTTAAAGGTCTGTTTCAAACAAAGATGGTATTAAATCTTTTCAGACTGTATAAAGAAAAAGGGGTCATTCGTACATTGCATGCATTTTATTTGATTTACTGACATAGTAAAAATGATCTTGTTCTACATGCATAGTAATGATAGCCTGTTATCATCTGATGTCTTAGTTTTGCCTGGATATGCTTTTGCACTATCTGGATGTGTAAGGCATCATTTTGTTTCCCATAAAGTATGAGTAACGTAGGGGGACTTGGTTTCAGAGATGAGTAACAGGCTTGTTTCAAAAACCTTGTTGTCATGATGAAAAAATGCACTTTAAATGGAAGTATCCATCTGAATAATACACTTGTGATCAAAAAAGATGGTATAGAAAGAAGCAATGGAACTGGGAGCAGAAATGCTAAATTTTTCCATAGCAGGCAAAACAGCAGGCCATAATATCTACTTTACTATTGTTCTTAAGTGCACTTTGCACTAATAAAGAAGTATTTCATGATAGAATAGAAGCTTTTCACCATCATGAGAAGCTCCTCCATCTTCTGTAATAAACGAAGTAATTATTGGTTTATATTAGAAGCAAAAGAGTGCCTTGTTCTATTGCTCACCTGCTTGTGAAAGGGAAGTAGAGACAGCAGCACCTAAACTTTGGCAAATGGAAGAGAGAGCAGCTTTTCATGTGCACTTGAAGAGAGATGCTTATTCACAACTTCCTCAAAAATGGCTTTTGTCACTGTCAAAATTCTACCTCATTTGCATGCAAACAACCACTGTTGCAGTACATGAAAAATATATACTCAGAAACTTGTAGATTTATGGAACAGGATCTTCAAAAGGCACAGGATATGATGCCCTTATTTTTATGCCTATATATCCTTTCTTAAATCTTCTCTACAAGCTTAGGAAAACTTTTTTGGCTTATCTAGAGATATTTGGAAAGAACCAAAGTAATCTGCCGTTTACAGATAAGGTTTTAAAAATCACTGCCTATCTATAGGATTGTTAAATGACCTGTATCTAGGAAGCAAGGAATGTGGATTAAAGAGGAGTACAGGAAAGACTAAGCCGACATACAGCTTCAGTTCAAGGGAGAAAATATCTTGGTAAATGGAAAAGTATGAAAGATCTGAAGAATATATTTATCTGGGGCAGCTTTTCTTATTTGGAGGATTATGGTCATGAGCAGAAGATTAAGAGGAAAGTCACCTTTAAATGTAGAGGAATTTAAAAAGCTGGATGTGGTTAAGAAAAACAACTTACCAAACACGCTTGGCAACAAAAACATTCAATCATTTGTAGACTTCCTGCCAAGGTACAGAGCAGATGGCTCAGCAACAACCAGAAAATGTGAGGCTAGGATTGAAATTAGCCCTACAGCATAGAGAACACACTTGGGTTTGCCATGTGTGGCAAACAGTGGCAAATGAGCCCTCTTGGTCTGCTGTCACATCTCTTCAGGTCTTAACAAAGTAGTAACATATGCTCTGGTGGCATCTGGCTAATTAAGCAAGCATGTTATGAGATGGAGCCTTCAAAATATGAAATAAAAACCAAACTTTATGAAATGTACATTGAAAATCCCTGTGCAGGACACATCTGAATATATTCCCTGTACTGTAAGCAGAATAAAATAATTTCTGCTTTTAATAAATTCAATCAGCTCTGCCTGGGTACCTCAGTAACAAACTGCAGCAACACCAAAAATGCTACAAATGTTGTCAGACTTAAACCTAGCGTTGGTCATCATCATGTTTGGTCCTGAGATAATCACCTGCCCTAACTTAATTTGGATGATGTTTTGTTAATTAACAAAATAATCTTAAAAAAAATCTGTTTTAAAAGCCTCACCAGTCACAGAGGCTTAAAAAAGTTTAATTTAGGGGAATGTATCAATGCACAGGTGAGGACAGGCAAAGCTGAGAAAGCACAGGAGTTACTGGAGTGAGCCAGGTAATACACGAGAGGAAGGCAGCATCACCAGAGCGTAGGTGTGCCTGCACTCCTTGCACACGCCCAACTTTACACTTCAGCCAGACAGCGTTTTTATTGTTTCAGTGCAACGCAGGCAGCACCTCGTGCGAGCAGGCTGTTGATGAGAAGGCAGTCCTTGCAGGCAACGGAAGGTGGGCCGCGCTTGGCGGGGCGATGGCAGGGCCTCACCTGGTTCTTCGGGGCGACGATGTGCCAGGAGCAGGTGACTCCCGCGGGGTAGTCTCGGTCCGGCCAGTTGGGCGTTTGGAAGGACCCCGATGGCTTCTCCAGTCGTCCCCCACAGTACTGATCCCCTGCAAGTACAGCACACAGTGCTGACCAGAGCGCAGCAGGGACGCAGGCAGCCCATGTAACGCACTGGTTTCACTGCAGGGGCCTCGGTGAGGGAGACGGGGCCGGCCCCAGCCGGTTCCGGCCGCCTCTGCCGCCGCCCCACCACAGGACATGGCTGAGCCCTTCAGCTCAGCTGGTGGCACCTCTGAGAAAACATATTTAATAAAGGGCAGAAAATGCCAGATGTAGATGAAGAGGGGGGTAAAAAAAAGAGTGAGAAACATTCCTGCAAACACCAGGGTCGGAGGAGGAGGAGGAGCCGCAGGTGCTGGAGAAGCCATCCCCACAGCCCGTGGGGCAGCTGTGCCGGGGCTGACGGGCATTCCCGAAGGAACTGCAGCCTGTGGAGAGCCCACAACGGAGAGGGTTTTTTTCCTCCATATCTTCTCTCCAAGTCCCAAATTACAAAGCTGCATCAGGTATGTAATCCTTATTCATAATACTATTATGAACCTTCTTTATTAAATTAACTCTATTATGTCACAGTCAGTTAATATATTTTTCAAGAAGTTACCAATACAGGGATCCAACTGGAAGGACTAATAAATTACTCATCACCGGCACTGCATCTGCCCAACAACCTGTCTAGTCTGGTATCGTGCCAACAGCAAAAGCCTTGAAAACGAGTCGCTCAGCAGGGCGATACCACCTCCCTGTAACCTCCCAGCCTCTTGCAGTTTATGCTCTTCCCAAGCATGATGCAATGCCTTTATGTTTAATAATACCTAGCAATTTTTTCTTTCCTATGGTTTTCTAATTGTTTTTAAACTAGTGTAGAAATTGACAATCCACAATGTCCCCTGGCACAGCACTCCACCACTTAACAGCTCACTGAGAAAAACCACCCTCTCCTTTCCTTTGTAGCCACTTGCTCGTCTGGTTTTTGTATTAGAAAAGACAGTGACTGTGGTCCCCATTCACTTTCTCCGTATTGGTCATGACTTTAGAGCCCTCTCCTACACTCCCCTTGACCTTCTCTTTTCCAGCGTGAAGACGCCCATGCTCTGCAGCTGGTCTTTGAGTAGAAGATGTTTCTTAACTCTATCATACCTGTTGTCTCTGATTGCTTCCGATAGTTTTATTATATCCTGTTCTGAGATGGGAACATCAGAGTGGCACACAGTATTCAAGACATAGATGCATTATGGATTTTTAGTGGCATAATTTGTTGTTGTTGTTGTTTGGTCTTTATTCCCTTTAAAAAAAATTGTTAAGTTTCTGTTTCTTTTTTGATACCTATTGAGCACTGGATTGATGTTCAACTATTGTTTTCATAAATTATCTATTTTAAACCTAAGATCTCATTCCTAAGCGGTAATAGTCAATTCAGAGCCCAATGTACTGCACATAAAGTTAGGTGTTTTCCCCTTATTTGCAACATTTATCTATATTGAATTTCATCTGCCATTTCATTGACTAGCCATTACTGTACTGCTACTAGGTGCAGTTCTTCTGCAACTCTTAAAATAGTTAGTCCTCCTCTTTACTATTTTGATTAACTACGATGGCTAAACAGTTATACTTTGCTATTTGCTAAGCAAGATAATTAATGAATACATTGCACAGCACAATCCCTAATATCTCTGGCATCACATCTTTTTAAACATTAATGTGGCTCTCCATAGAGTTGTACAGTTATATTTGTCTTCAGCACATACCTAATTGTTAATTACCTCTTTCATGTGGTTCTGCTGCAGAAAACTTTGCAATGAATCCACTTCCAGCAGTATTAGCATCTGAAGTCATCTGCACCAACATTTTATTGCTGTTGGATACAAGGGCACCTGGTTTCACAGTACCACAGAACCTGCCGATGCGTTGTCCATTGGCGTGGCCATTGTATATATCCACAAAATCATATCGGCACAAGTTGTCACTTTCCAGGTCTAAATATCTAAAAGAAAGAACCACGACTTTTCCTTCTGGGACCTGCAGAAAGAGAGGGAGGGAGGGAGGGAGAGATGTATCTTGAAGTGTGACTGACACCACATATTTATCTGATGCCACTATTTGCATGAGTATTTTCATATCCTTCACTTCTCACCAGGCAAGCTCTTTTTGTCAACTGTACTCCAGGCAGAGTGGTTTTTAAAACCATGCTGGACCAATCATAAAAACAAAGCTTTGGCCATCTCTGTCGCCATTATCTTCTTCCTGATCCACAGTATTGTCTAGCCAGACTCATACAGTTGTTTATATACCATCACCGCCCAGTTCAGCTTGGCATGTTTCTCTTATTTTCCGCTGAATGTATGCAATCAGCCATGCAGCTCCTTGTCACCAAGTAAGGTGAGGAGGATGATATTAACATGGTTAAAAAAAAAAGGACAAACTATTTACAATTTTGAGCAAATGAAATGGCCTCTCTTATCTTGCTGATTTGTGTCATAAACTTTCATAATTTGAAGGATTTTTTTCTTTACTGACACATGACTTACATGTATAAATAAAATTGAAAACTTTACGGCTAATGCTGTACAACCCTAATATTTAGTTATTTGAGTGGGTACATTTAGCTTGAAGGCTGCAGTGAACAAATTATATTTGGAAAGAATATGTAAAACTATGAACAGAGAGTCAAAAGAACCATTAGTGAGTGTCCTCAATACAGAAAAGAGTTTTGTTTTCTGAAACACCTGAGGAAGCATAAGACAGGGCAAATCTTCTTACATGTCTGCATCTATGGACATTGCGACAGTACTGAGAAGGATGTAAAATAAGAGAGCACAATAGTTTACAAGGATGAGAACATTTCCTAGGACAAAGTTGCAAGTTTTTAAGAGAATAAGCAGCATGCTGAGAAGTGAGGACTTTCTAAGAAAGCACTCAATGCTATGTAACAGGACAGGAAGAAGGGAAACAGTATTTTAAAGTATAGAGGGACCCTAGACAGGCAGAGTGTAATTATCTGCATTCAATTCATAGCCTGGTAGTGTGGTTACCTATTAAAATAATTGCAGCTGTTCTATTTTACTGAGACACTGCTATTATCTTCTGCTTTAAATATATAACACACACTTAATATATCTGCAGTAAGTCCATATTTAAGCCACTTTATTTAAGAGTTCATGATTTTTTTCCTTCCTTAACAGTGACTCATTTTAAAACACCAGTTTGAGATAAACTACAACTAAACTGTTCCTATATGAAATTGTCAAACAGTGGTTTAATGTTGTGAGTTTCAACAGTTAAAAATGCCTTGTCAGGTATCGATGGAAGTGCTACGGATGGAAGTGACCACTTAACCCACAGAAGATACTAATACAGATGTATTGAAATGTAGTGAAAAAATGTGCTGTAGATATGTTACTCATTTGTGTGGCTGCTTTTATGTCCAGTGCTGATACTAATCCTGCAGCAGGACAGACTTTTGCAAGAGCTGTTTTCAACTGCCCAGGGCCCACGTACACACTGGCTGACCAGCCCCACAGCAGTGCCTGTCGCTGGTTTCAGTGTGTTTTCCTTTAAGTTCAAAGTTCTCTCAAAAATGCATTCAGTTCCCCTGTGCTGACGTACATCACTACTACTACTACTACTACATCAAAACCACAAAACTCATCTAATCTTACCCAGAAATTCCAAAGCACAATGACTATGTTTTAGAAAACTTTAAAGCCAGATGTTAGGTTTAAAACTCACACTACTGAAGTGAGCAAGCCCTGTAACTGGTATCAGAAAATAACCCACATGTATATTTCTTCTGTAAAGCAATATGACTCCTTGAATCACTGCTCTCATAACTAATCTCTTATTACTGTATTCACTTGTCTTCTAGTCTGAATCACTAAGAAGCATTAAGACATGGTCATTTTAACAGAAAAAGAGCTAGAAAGAATTTGGTATTCCTGTCGGAAGATCTGAATGTTATTTATGGTTATACTAAAAACTCTATGTGACCAGACAAATCAGTTCAAAAATGCTGGCTGTAAAGTTAGTCAGATAAAGTCAGATTTAGGCAGTTAAATTAAAACAGCCTTTTTTCCAGAAGCATGTATGTAAAATAACATACGCTCTTTTGGGGTGGAACACTCATTATTCCTAAATTTGTCCAACTGGTACAACAGGATCCAAATAAGGTGGCCTTTAAAGGTTATCATGTTTTAAGACAGACCAAGCTGTTATACCTACAATTAAGATTGTCCAACATTTTCCACTACAGTGCCTTGCAGCTTTGCTACAATTTACCCATCTGTAAGTATTTTCTCCTTTTCCTTCCTCTGTTTCTGAAAGTTGCGCAGAAGCTGCTCTATCATATTAGATTAAACAGTTTTGTTGGTGCTTATGAGGTTTTTCCCTACTTTCTCAGCTTGAATTACTTCTTTGAGGACACCTACGCCCTCTCAGAGTTTGAAGAAGGAAGTTGAAATGTGAGAGGTGGCTCATTCTGGGGTAAGAAAAGGTCTTTTTACTGTCCTTGTAGAAATGCATTCAGATTTAGCCAAGTGGTTATCCCTCCGTAATGCTGATGGGTGCTCAGTGACAGCTTTGTTCCAGGAGCACATCAAACCAGCGCTGCTCTGCTCATAGCAGCCTCCAGGCCCTCCGTCCCAGCCCCAGGCATTCTGCTCGCTCATGCTGCCCCAAGTGGGGCAGCGGGAACCGGGACCTGGGACTGACCTGCGCTCAAGAGGGAGAGGAGGCTGGCACAGCAGCCAAACCCCAAACTGCCAGCCAACCATTCCCTCAAGTCTTGGGTTTTCCGTTTCATGGCGTAATTCTGTGCAGTGTTGTATGCTTCCTTCTCTTCTCTCCACCACTGACTATGTTATACTATACTGCATTATGTTAGCTAATTGTATTTCATTATAGTTTTTAATCTCTCTAGCTTCTATTAGTTCAGCCTACTTGATCTTGGTCAAGACTGTTCCCCATAGATGTACTAAGTTTCTAAGTTTTGTTTCATGACAGTTTGTAAGAAACTGTGTAGGAAAAACTCAGCCATGTGGTCATGAATGTTTAACAAGGAGCCTACTCCAGATTTCAGTTGTTAGAATAATCCTTGCTGACATTTAGCTGAATTTGGGGAGATAAGTCATTTACAGAAATGTGTGAACTGGGGCCCTTAATCACAGTCACTACTTACTGCCATCACTTTATAAAATAATATCACTGCTTATTAAAATAGTATTTGTCATTATTCACAAAAATAACAAATCTGTTCCAGCATGTTAAATCAATTAAAAGTTTGTGGTCTGACCAGATGCCATTCAAGAGCGCAGAGGCTGGTGGTTCCACTTCCTGGCACCAGCCACTCCAGTCTGCAGCTACTCCCAAGGAATCCCACCCTAAATACAGGTGTCTTTGCAAAACAATACTTTTCTTTCATTTCTACCATTTCCCTTTTTTAAATGTTGAAAACTAATGTGCTAAAATCTGCCCGTGTTTATCCTAGTACATTTCAAATATTGCTCCATGAGAAACACAGGGGAGAAAGCAAAGGCCAGCATGACTCAGTATTGTTTACTTTGAGCCACGTCCAAGCCTAATGCACTAAGATGATGGGATACCTCAGAGGAAGAATTGGAAGGAATTGCAGCCCTTTAAAAAAAAAAAAAGGGGGGGAAAAAATGGAGGGAGGAATCAAAGGAAGAGTATGTGATGTTTCCCCTCCAGGGTGTGCCTTATTTGTCTCTTTTACCCATCCAGCGGGTATCTTTCAATGACAGAGGCACTATAGCTTCTGCCTCTCCTTGTCACACTGAGGGTGACCGACCCAAACTTGCCCTGGGCTTCCCTTCTTATTTTAACTCTATGAACTCATTTAGGATCAGAAATTATGACACTAAACTCATGTGAAGGATGCCTTACTCCTGTTGAAGGCTTAAGCAAAGTAGCACTCCCTGAATTTTTAGGGGGAGTTTTTCTAGAGGATAATTCCCTAAAATCATCTGTGTAGATTATTAACCTCTTCAAAAGGGCATGATTATTTTATATATACAACCCACCACAAAATAAGGTCCCTAGATTATTTTTTTTTTATCATTCATTGCAGGTATTTCATATAATGTTGATCAAAGTTCACTTACATTTAAAGTAGTTAAGCTGTTTTTCTGTTGTTGTTCAGACTGAACGCAAAGCGCTCTTCATCATTGTGCCTCTCCCAGTTTCTGGGGAGGATTCCCAAACTGTCATACTTTTCAAAATTATTTGGTTTAGTTTATTTGCTTTGAAAATAATCTTTTGGTGGAGAAAAAACCTTTAAATGCCAACTTTCTGAGCAAATATTTTGCCTAAGTTTTAAACCTATATTGTATATGGGTTTAATGTATTTTGGTATATGTTTAATGCCAAAATGCTGATTGTATGTTTTACCATAGCAGTTCTAGGGAGACTTGAAAAATACATCAGCTACCTGCAAGCCAAACATATTATTTCTCTCAACTGAGAATGAATATGAAAGTTATTTGGAGTTACATCCTGGGAAGAACCACAGTTCCTGCCTAGTCACTTGTTCCTTAGCTCCATCCTCTCCAGCCACAAAGGAACAATTTTTTAAAAAATTCGTATTAGCTTGCTCTTGCTGACAAAGGCACTAGACTGTGTTCACCTATTTCTTTTCTGGCAATACAACCATGCGTAAAGATCTGTTCTCTACTGGAAGGGCAGTTTCACAATGATAGCGGAAAATGAATGCTTAAAACGCAGAGAAAATGATCTAAAATATTTCACTCCCTCAGGGCCGATTCCCAGCTCCCTTGATAAGTACGTTTTTCAAACCTCGCTTATTGTCAGCAAACCTGCTGGAACACAGCTCCTGAACCTATAAAAATATAACCTTACATAACTCTTCACAGTCTTCAGCATTACTGTTGCACATAAAGTTGTTAGAGTTTTATGGGAACTACATAGTCTGCCAGAAAAACACAGGAGAGCAGTCCAGATTCTTCAACTATGTGACACATTTATGTGAGGTGATGGCCAAGAAGGCTTACAGAGTATTAAAACTAAATGTATATGACATATTTTAGATAAAGCTATATATATTACTATAGGAAAGGAAATAGCTGTACAAATGACTTCTTAGCAAAGCCAGCTAAAAGCTGCTGGGTCGTCTGCCAAGGTTGTAATATAACCACAAGCATGTGCTGAACACTTCTTAGAGCTCTTAGAATAGAGAAGCTGTTTTCTTTAGCCAGCTGAAAAAGTCCCAGTCTCTTGAAATAACAGAACCATAATTGAGTTAGAGAGACTCCTCTAGCTTTAGCAAACCTGTTGGAAACTCTTCAGCTGATACCTGAATGCTACATTGCTTTATCTGTATTACCCAAGTTTTCTAAACCTATTTTCTTCTAAAGAATGAATTAGCTGTCACTCTGCCTCTCTGTGGATTTCTTCTAAAGAAGATGAGATCCTGTAGTCGAGAAAACAACAGCTTCATGCTTCTTGTGACCCAGATGCAAAGCGAATCAATGCCTCTTCCAGTCTTGCATACTTGTCAGATCCTGCATTAGGCAGAGGGTTTTCAGGAAGGTGTTCACAGCCCTTGGCTAAAATGGACAGGCAAAATGTCTTAGTCACCTTCTAAGATCAGATGCTAAATGAGGAAGCCTAACAGTAACTACAGCATATTTATTCATGGCAGTGCAACTGGCTTTCTTACTCGGGTGCTGTTGCAAGCTATTCTAAGCCTCAGCAGTATCTGGTGAAAGGATTTTGTTGTTTAAATTCAGGCTTACCAGACCCTTGAGGGTACCACTTTCCCTCTGTTTGGTCAATCATTCTCTTTTTAAAGAGGGTGCAGGCTTAGTCTTGCAAGTTTTGTAGTCTTTGCCTTCCCTACATCCTTCCTGCACATCCAGACAGGGCGTTCTACACAGCTGATGGGGGTCG